GGGGCGAGGCTGCTACCGAATAAACAGAGTGAGGACGACATTGTCTCCCGAATCGATGTTGCTCGCCGGTTTTCTAAATCCTTCGAAAGCGCCTGTAGACCCGATGCGACATCTCCATAATCACGAACATACGCGTGTACCGCGCATCCGCCCGGTCAGTCCTCCTCTAGAGATGTGAATGCTGGTGAAGACTAGGGAAATGCTCGACTACCGCGGTCTGAAGGCCATCCTAAGGGTAAAGTATACCCTTTTCGTCTCAAATGCGACGGTCTGCACTCGTTGCGAAAGTGTTGTGAGGACACCTCAGGCCATCTAAGAAAGATGATTAAAGTGGTTTGGGCACCTCCTCCGTCGTCCGCCCCACGAGCTTTGTTATGCTGCCCTCGATCCGAAACCATTAACTACTTGGAGACGTCGAAGAGGAGGGCAACTCAAAACTTGACTCAACGCCGTTCGTCAAGACATAGAAACGGTTCTTAAACCTTTGGTTTTAGGTCTCTGTCGCTAGAGAAGAAAATGGGTGGAGCTTTCTAGATCCGCTGCCGCCAATCGTCACGCATGGGGAGGTACCACCCGTAACATCGTTGAGGCCGCATAGATTAAGCAGCCGTATCAAGTACAACTAATATCCATTTAAGGCAACATTTCCCAGGTGCAAGTTTAAAGATCGCAAAAACAGCAGGGTTTGTTGGATCCACGAAGTTTCGGGAGAGCTCTTCAGCTGCTTCCTCTCCAATGCGTGCTAAGAGTAACGATTAAGAAAATACAAATACAATCGCTTACTTTACTAATTAGCCATCGTGACTATACCTTATGACCTTTCTTTACGAATTAAATTTTATATCTTTTTCAATCGTTGCTTATATTATGCACTGAGAGGAGGCAGCTGAAGAGCTCTCCTGAAATTTCATGCCTCCAATAAGTCCTGCTGTTTTTTGCCATCTTTGATATCCATTTGAACTCCTCGATCCTAAGAGGGCCTTTTGACTATCGTCTTCAATTTTTGAGACGATCCTTTTAAATTTCATTTAAGGACCCTTTATCGTTCTCAAGTGTCCTACTTCGGCTTGGAGTAGTTCAGTTTCCTAGATTAGTTAGTAGATGGGCTAGTGCGCACCATTTGTCCTCGTTGCTTTATTCTACCAAAATTTGGTGAACCAACGCGGATTTTTCAGTTAAACTAAGACTAGATCGGTGTTATTTTGTTAGCAGCTGGTAATTAAATTTCGACTGTCCTTGATGTGTAAACCACGTGGGTGGGTATTAAGCCTGGATTGGTTATTTAGAGAACAGCCAACTCGCTCCGTGGTGCATAGTAATGTCCGGATGTTGTTCATGTCAACTGCAGCGCCCGAATGGAATTTTTTGCTCTGGTTTGCGCGCCGCCCGAATGCCTTTGCCAAAAATAGCCTGTGCCGACCTTCGGATTAAGTTCAAACAGTCCTAACTCTGTGTAAAGCCTGTGGCGCACGGCTGGGTGGAAGCCCTGGGTGGAGCGCTGCAGTCGTTAATTCATTTCCTTTCGTCCAGCCAGCCAGCGAGCGAATGGTCCTTGACAATCAGTCCTACCCGGATGCTCGCTTTTACCTGCATTTCTGCCTTTCCGTTGGCTAGAAAAAGTCACACTGCTGGCAAAAAGAATAACTACTAGGATAGTATATGCCTGGTAGTCATCTGGTAGATTCTAGATTGATTGCCTGGGAAATCCTGCTTGGACAGTCAGGCTACTGTATCCGTATTTGTGGATTTCATACGCGCAGTAGGCTCGGCGGGTAAATCGACCCCTTGCGTGATTAAACTCTCAGTTCCTGGTAGGGGGCTTGGATAGCTCAGTCGACTAGAGCGTTACCTGTACTAAAGCCTTCCCCATGCTTGCGTGGGTTCAAATCCCACCAAGGCAGGCAAAAAACAGCAGAACTTACTGATACCAACAAATTTCGAGACAGCTCATCAGCTGCTATTTGTCGCTGCATAAGTAAAATAACGAGGACACATAGAACAGTAGTGAATTTCACAGAATTACTGGCAACAG